GTAGAGCGAGTTACAATAATCCAGTCTGGAGGTGACCGTTGCGTGGATCACAGTGGCTAGGATCAGGGCGAGAGAGATAAGGAGCCAACTGCTTAGCTTGGCGGAGATGGAAAAATGCCGCCTTTGTTGTAGCTGCAATCTGCGCCTCCATGGAAAGGGAGGTGTCGAAGATGACACCCAAACTCTTAACGGAAGGTGCTGGCACTAATTGCGCCCCCGCAAGAGATGGGATTCTTTCCTCCCCTCTGCTTTCCAGAGGAGGAAATTCTCCTTTTCCCTGTGTTGGACAGGAGGCCACAGGATGGGACAAGAAAGGGGTTTTTAAGTATACGGTGAACCCCAAATTCTTTCCCTGCCTTAACTCCACCAAACTCTATCTATTAGTTGAATGGTAAAATCCTGAGCAGGCACTGTTTCCTGGTTTCCCCATGCAGGGAGTCTTTTTCAGATAACCGGTGTCTGCCTTGCTCTGCTAGATTTCTACTTGCAGGGAGTCTTTTTCAGATAACCAGTGTCTTCCCTGCTCTGCTAGATTTCTACTTGCAGGGAGGTTTTTTTAAGATACCCCCCCCCAATCTAGTAGAAGATTGTAAAAAATGTGGCCCTTCTCTTTCAGCCTAAAGCAGTGCAGCCCATTCTACACCCCGGGTAAACCCTTGTTGATCTATTTGTGTGGCAGCACCTAGCCTCTGGAACTTCCTGCCTATTGCTGCCAGGCAGGTGCCTTCGCTGGGCTCTTTTTGGGGCCAGCTAAAAAAAATATTTTTGTTCAGACAAGCCTGCACAGATGTGCAGAACGTACATTTTAATCTGTTTTTACTTTATTGCTGGTTTTTGTTTGTTTTAAAGAGTCTTTTTTTTTACTGTTCTTCCTGGCAAATTTATTGTTTTCTTCTCCTTGTAAACTGTTTTTTTAGGATTTATTTGGTTTTTTTTTACAAACAAGCAGTGTGTAAATTTTAAATAAGTAAAATGAAACTGTTCCACCGCCTCATTCTGCCACCATCAGTAAGTGTGGCATTGGGTGCGAAACAAGGTGTTTCTCTTTGTGCTTTCTCTTCTTTCCTCCGCTTCCATTTGCCTAGTTTTTATGACAATAAAAACCACACGCAAATGCTTCTGCATCCACGAGCCTCAGGTTCTGGGAGATCAGAAGTGTCAATTTCCGCTCTTAAACTAACCACAGTCCCCCAACCCCATTACATCCAAACTGCGGTTTCCTGGAAACACCGTGGTTTGTTAAAACGGACCACAATCAAATTGTGGGTTTGACATACTGGCTTGTTCTGAAACCACAGTTTAGAAAAACCACAGTTCCGGTGATCTGGACGAAATGGGAAACTGAGGTCAGTTTAAAAGTTGCAGAACGGTTTGGGATGTTTTTTCATGTAGAGAAAAGACAATTAAGAGGCAACATGATAGAAGTCAAGTATGCATGGCCCAGAGAAAATTATTTCCTCCCTCTCTCGTGGCAGTAGGACTAATAATAATAATAATAATAATAATAATATAATTTATTACTCTGGGACGGCTTCCAACAAGAGCTTCAAAATACATTAATTGAAGTTGAACACTGGAAGTCTCAGGACAGATAAAAGATAGCCTTTCGTCCTGCAGCGCTGTTAACCTGTGGAACTCCCTGCCACAGGGTGGCCACCAACTTAAAGGTAAAGGTAAAGGTACCCCTGCCCGTACAGGCCAGTCTTGCCAGACTCTGGGGTTGTGTGCCCATCTCATTCAAGAGGCCGGGGGCCAGCGCTGTCCGAAGACACTTCCGGGTCACGTGGCCAGCGTGACATCGCTGCTCTGGCGAGCCAGAGCCGCACACGGAAACGCCGTTTACCTTCCCGCTACAGCAACGGGAGCGCACCCCGCCGCGGGGATTCGAACCGCCGACCTTTCGATCGGCAAGCCCTAGGCGCTGAGGCTTTTACCCACAGCGCCACCCGCGTCCCTACTTAGATGGCTTTAAAAGAGGACTGGGCAAATTATCGGAGGACTAAGGGTATCCAGTAGCTCATTTACGAGTGAACACGGTCTCCATAGCCTTGCAAAGAGAGGCTGCAAATTTTGCTAACAGCAGAGGATTTTCCACTGTTTCGAATCATTTTTCTTTTCCTACACGGGATTAAAATACCCAGGGGAGAGTTGCAGTTTGGACTCTCGTTGGTACGAAATAACCCTCCGCGTACACCAGGGCCCACGAGTCCAATTTCTCCGCTCCATCTAATAAACCCAAAATATTCCGGTCCACCGAGTTCCTGCTCCCTCTGCGTAATAATTTGCTGCAGGACCCTTTAAAAAACAACGCAAAACCCCAAACGCTTTCCTGCATTTTCTTTCCTCAAATTAGAACTCTCAGCAGCGCCGTTCCAGTCCTGGCGAAATAAAGGGTTGTGGTTGAAAAAAAAAAAGAAAAGGGGGAGAGAGGGAAGATATTCGCAGACGGCTTTTCAGCGAGACGTCCCCCTTTCTCCTCCGAAAATTTCACGAAAATTCCCTGCTTGGCCAGAACGGTGAGAGATATAATTCCGCAGGGTCACCCGAAACACAACCGTCTGATAGTTTTGGGGCAAAAGGTGATGGAAAACAGTAAGGCCACTGCTGAGCGGGGCAAAAAAGGAAAATACCGTATTTTTTCCACTATAAGACTCACTTTTTCCCTCCTAAGAAGTAAGGGGAAATGTGTGTGCGTCTTATGGAGCGAATGCAGGCTGCGCAGCTATCCCAGAAGCCAGAACAGCAAGAGGAATTACTGCTTTCACTGCGCGGCGATCCCTCTTGCTGTTCTGGCCTCTGAGATTCAGAATATTTTTTTCCTTGTTTTCCTTCTCCAAAAATTAGGTGCGACTTGTGGTCTGGTGCATCTTATAGAGCGAAAAATACGGTAATTCTTAACTTGTTTGGTCTTTAAATGGGCGCATCATTGCACCCTAAATCGGTGAAATTATCGCATAAAAGTATTTATTGGTTAGCTTTGGGGGTCGGACCCCTTTGCTCAAGGGGGCCAGAGCACTTTGCATGCAGACGGTTGCGGGTTCAAACCCCGACAGAGTCTCCGTTTTAAAAGGAAACAGCCAGGGACCCAGAGAGATGCTGCCAGCCAGAACGGGTAACACTGGCTTAGATGGGCAATAATGGCACAAGGCATGGGTTTTTTTTCTGCGTTTCTCTCAATTAGGCAACATTTCTTACGAGAATCTGCGGCCGTATCCTGTTAACCAAGCAGTCAAAGCACCTACAATTTTTTCACTCTCTAGTTCCTTTCTTGCCATCCCTGAACTACAATTCCCACACCGCCCTGGTGCAAAGCGGCGGAGGAGAGCCAGGTCTCGTTGGACTCCAACTCCCATCATCCCCCTGGCCATTGGGCCACGCTGGCTGGGGCTGATGGGAGTTGTAGTACATCGACATCCGGCTGGCGAAAGCCGTTCTCGGCTGCTGACCAAGAAAACAAGGGAGCAGAGCAACTTTTCTGTAAAATGGGCACAAGGGAAATTGGGTCACCATTGGCTTTAATTCCGTCAGTTTGGGAGTGACAAGAAATGTTCCCCCTTTCACAAATGGGGACTTTTAGGGGTGGTGATGGCTTGTTTAAGGGACACCCTGGTTGGGGGAAAAATAACCCAAATATATATTTTTAAGTTCGAAAAGGCAGGAAAACAATGGGAACCAGAGAACAACACCAGAGTCCCGTCCCACGAAGCCCGTTCCTCTCTCACAATGAATTAAAAGTTGCCAAGTTCAGAAAACGAGAGGAAAATACACATTTTGTGTGGGCTTTTCTCTGCCAAAAATAAAGCCACTTTATTTTGGAATTTGTGAGCGAGGAGGATTATGGGAAACAGGCCAAAGCTTGGCTTGGTTTGATGGTGTAATAATAAAATTTAAGGTCTTATATATATAATAAACGTTCATCAATGTACCAACCAAACACGTACATAAATCAGCACAGGAAGACCGACCTGAAACCATTTTAACTCCCAAACTGACCAAATGTTTCTCTGCAAGGAGGGAGGAGATGGGGAAAAAAACCTTCCTTGTTACAGGAATTGGAAAATCACCATCTCAAAGGAATGGGCGGACTACCAGGAAAGTCAATCAGATAAGGCATTATCAGATAACCTGGCAGACAGGGTAAAAACAACGCACTCGGATTTCTGTTGTAGACCACCTTTTCTGTAATGTAGGTATGATGTTTGTGGGGGAGGTCTTGGACTCCAGGGCAGGCAATTTAAAATGTCTATATAAGGGTGGGCACACCTTGGTTCTGGGTCCTCCTCCTTTCCTGCGGGTGAGGGGAGCACCCTGTTGCAACAGATCAATAAAGATCAGGCTTACGAGCTGCTTTGCTTCTCCATATTCTCTGGTTGGCCTCTGTTATTTTCTCCTACCAATAGGGAACCCTCTTAAGGACTCTATACGGGCTCTTGGATACCCCATAAGGGAAGAAGGGCAGGTTTTGTTTACAACAGAGCGGATACCACCCACCTCCCCACACCCCACACCCACCCACAAATACAAGCACACACCCAAATCCCAAATGAAATTCTTCCCTTTGCAACAAAAATTCTTCTAAATCTCAGTTCATCATCTGGCCCTAGCTGGATTGTTTAGCAGGGGGTGGTATTGTTATTGTTTGTTTCCCTTCCAAAAAAAGGAGGAGAAAAAAAAGAGAGGAAAAGGTAAAGAAAGAAGGAAGCGAAAATTGTGATGATTTTGGAAAACAAGAAAGGGGGGGGTGCGCTTTCCCAAAAAAAGGAAAAAAGAGGGGAGGGGGAGGGTTGCTTTTTTTCCAAAAGTTTATATATTATTTGTTCTGGTTTCTTTTCTTTTCTTTTTTTAATCAATATATATATATATTTAAAAAGAAGAAGAAGTAAAAAACCAAAAAACCAAAACCAAAAATAAAAAAAGGAAAATATTTTGTTTCTGTTTCTGTTTTTTTGTTTTGTTTTGTTTTAAAAAAGCAAGATTTGTGAAACATGCAGGAAAAATACCTTCGTCTGGAGAGGGATTGTTAGTTGACACCTCCTCACGCTTTTTCGTGAGCGGACCTAAGAGCAAGAAAAAAGAAGAAAAAAGAAAAATGGGACAAGGGGGTAAAAAGAGAGAGAAAGATCAAGAAAAAAAAGAGATCGTTTTTTGCGTTTCGTTTTTCGTCTGCTTCAGCAAAAAGGGAAAAAAGCAATAGTTCTTTTCTTTCTTTTAGCAAAATACAAACAATTTTCGTTTTTTTAAAGGTTTTGTTTTCTCCTGGGTTTGTGTGTGTGTGGTGTTGCTGGGATATTTTTATTTTTCCTTTCCCCCCCCCCACCGAAAAAAGCATATATATATATATATATAATAGATTTATATATATGACACAGAATTATAGAGAAACCGGATGCTGTGAAATTAAAGGTTGGTTAGAGACGAACCAGGTTGGGAGGGGTGGGGTGGGGGGTGGGTTAGATCCTGAAATGGATAACAGAACCATATGGACTACCTGGGAGGGAGGGATTCGTTGCTTGCGGTTTCTGCATCGGAGCGGGTTGGACTAGATGACCCCTGCTGGTCCCTTTCAAGTCTACCACCATCTGCGAGGGACCCTGCAAGATGCGATTTTCCTGCATCGCAGGAGGGTTGGACTAGATGACATTTGGGGCTCCCTTTCCAAATTTCATTACCATTCAACCCCCCTGGGACAGCGGCCGGAGAGAGGGCAGACAAACTCACTTCCTTAAGGGCCACACCAAATTCCTCTCTTCGCAACTCGCCGGATCTTTAAATCGGAAACGGGCCTCTTAAGAAATCTGTGTGCCTGCAAAAACTGTCCTGTTCTGCTATCGCCGGTGCTTTTTTCCTAAAGAGAATGTTTGGGGGTACTCTTGTTTCGACTTGAGAAAAATCACCGTTTTGTAGTTCAAATTGAGGGAAATAAATACAGCAAATGGACAAAAGTACAGGGGACGCTTGGGTCGTGAACGTGATCTGTGCAGGATGCACGTTCGCAACCCGCAGTTGCACACCTGCGCACGCACAGGTTGCGATTCCGTGCTTCTGCGCATGTGCAAAGCGAATTTAGCGCTTCTGTGCATGTGCAAAGCATGATTTAGCATTTCTGTGCATGTGCAAAGTGCAATTTAATGCTTCTGCGCATGCTCGGCTGCCGAAACCCAGAAGTAACCCATTCCAGTACTTCTGGCTTTCGGTGGTCCGCAACCTGAAGCGTCTGTGACCCGAAGTATGACTGTACAAAGATTCAAAAAATGTGGGCTTTGCGTACCTCCAGAAAAAAAAGCACTGGTTATTACATTGTGCATTTTTATCTTGCAAACTGCCTTTGTGATTCTCAAATGCTGTCGTACATTGGATCTCAGACGCCTCGGCTCCAGAACAAATTGGCTCCCGAACAATTGAAACCTGGAAGTGAGCGTTCCGGTTTCTGAACGTCCTTTCGGAAGCCGAACGTCTGACGGGGCTTCCGATTGGCTGCAGGAGCTGCTTCCTGCAGCCAATCGGAAGCCGCGCTTTGGTTCCTGGACATTTCGGAACCCGAACGGACTGTGTAGAAATTTAATAAACGGATACATCTCCTTGTGTAACCGCTTAGAAATGCTAAAAATGCTAAGCGCTTTTAAATAAAATGAAATAAATATGCTTTTATGAGGCTTTTTCTCCCAAGGGTGCTGATTCCAAAGTCAGGATCGAGTCCCTAACCCGCTTCCTGGGTCCTTGTTGATGTTTTTGGTTCTTACGGCCTTTAACCGGTGTGTGACATCATTTCCCAGTGACGCAGAGGGTCAGTTCGCCTGGCTGCTAACCGGAAGGTTGGCGGTTCGGGCCCAGCCACGGGCGGCTGTGGGCAGGAATCCTGCATTTCAGGGAGTTGGTCTAGATGGCACCTCGGGGTCCCCTTTCCATCTGGACAATTCTACGAGAAAGCAGGCGTTCCACAGGTGCAGTCCCCTCCCCAGGCAGAACTGTGTGCGGAAGCTACACCCGTTGGACTCCTGCCTGCGTCCCAAGCATCCTTCCGGATGACGCGGGAGGAAGGAACTGGGAGGCAAAGAGGACGAGGACGATGACTAGAGAGGGAAGCGACGGAAAGCAAAGCGAACCGGGAGCTCTTTTTAATTTGGTGTCCTAGAGAAAAGGTTCGTCTCTCCGAGGCGAAGCCAAGAGCCCAGTGGGACGCGGGAAGGAGGCGTCGAGACGGGATCCACGGCTTCTGGCAGGCAGATGGGAGAGGGGGCGTGTGTGGCTGCCGCAAAGCCGCAGGACGCGGGAAGGGACCCGTACGGTCATCTATCTCAACCCCCTGCGGCTGGAGGAGGAGGTGTCGACAGACGGGAAGACAGCGCCGCCTGAAGAGTGCAGAGCTGGAAGAGGAAGGGGGCAAAGGAAATGTCGATGCCCCACAGGGCCCCACAGATCCTGTCCCTACCAGGAGAAGGGGGTCGGACTCTTAAGCCCGCGGAAGAGAGGGGAGAGGCGTTTGCCTACATCCCAAAGGAGGAGACATGGAAGGCCAGGCTTTTCCAGCAGGCCTCTACCTCTCTTTCAAATCAGAACCAGTGAAGGCGGTGAAGGTCCTGTGTGAGTGCCTGGAGGCAGTTGGAGGATGGATGTGGCGGCTAACAGATTGAGGTTGAATCCTGACAAGACAAAGTACTGTTTTGGGGGGACAGGGAGCGGGCAGGTGTAGAGGACTCCCTGGTCCTGAATGGGGCAACTGTGCCCCTGAAGGACCAGGTGCGCAGCCTGGGAGTCATTCTGGACTCACCGCTGTCCATGGAGGCGCAGGTCAGTTCTATGTCCAGGGCGGCTGTCTACCAGCTCCATCTGGTGCACAGGATGAGACCTTCCCTGCCGGCGGACTATCTCGCCAGAGTGGTGCATGCTCTAGTTATCTCCCGCTTGGACTACTGCAATGCGCTCTACATGGGGCTACCTTTGAAGGTGACCCGGAAACTGCAACTAATCCAGAATGCAGCAGCTAGACTGGTGACTGGGAGCGGCTGCCGAGACCACATAACACCAGTCTTGAAAGACCTAGATTGGCTCCCAGTACGTTTCCGAGCACAATTCAAAGTGTTGGTGCTGACCTTGAAAGCCCTAAACGGCCTTGGTCCAGTAGACCTGAAGGAGCGTCTCCACGCCCATCGTTCTGCCCGGACACTGAGGTCCAGCTCCGAGGGCCTTCTGGCGGTTCCCTCATTGCGAGAAGCAAAGCTACAGGGAACCAGGCAGAGGGCCTTCTCGGTGGTGGCGCCCGCCCTGTGGAACGCCCTCCCACCAGATGTCAAAGAGAAAAACAACTACCTGACATTCAGAAGACGTCTGAAGGCAGCCCTGTTCAGGGAAGTTTTTAATGTGTGACATTTTAGTGTATTTTTGGTCTCTGTGGAAGCCGCCCAGAGTGGCTGGGGAAACCCAGCAGGATGGGCAGGGTACAAATAATCATCATCATCATCATCATCATCTCTGGAACTCCCCGCTACAGGAATTCCCGAGACGAGTTTGCTGGTTAGGCGGCTGAGTTTCTGAGGAGGGGGACTTGCAACCGTAGGGAAATCCTACGCCGAGAGAACAGAGGGGGAGTTTTGGGGGACGGGGGAAGGAAAGGCGAAAGGCTTGGCACCATGCCCGGCTCAGTTCAGCTGGCCGAAATCTGGGGCAGTGCGACGGCTGGGGCAACTTCGGAGCGTCTCCCTTTCCTGCGTGCTCCCTGATGTGATGGCAGAACTGGGCATTTGCAGATTAAGACAGAAGGATTTTTCACGGGCTGGCGACTTGCCCCGGGGCAGCAGCATCCGCCGCTATATAAAGAGAGCAGCGAGAGGGAGGACAGAGCGGGAGAGCGAAAAACAGGGAGAGAAGAGGGAGGGAGGGGCTAACCACAAGTGCCCCTTCACCCTCCCGACCTGCGCTACTCTCTCGGGACAAGCCCACGGATCCTGCCTCTCTGCCCTGACATCGCCCCTCTCTTCTTCCGCCCGCAATTCAAAGCGCGGCCTTCTCTCTTGACTCTCTCGGGAATTCCTGTGGCAGGCAGTTCCGGAGGTTAACGGCCGTTCGTGCAGAGAACAACAACGGAAAGGGAAGGAGGAGGCTCCTGGTGTTTGGGCCAACCCAAAGGTGGGTGAAGGGGACCCGGGTGGCGCTGTGGGTTAAACCACAGAGCCTAGGGATTTGCCGATTGGAAGGTCGGCGGTTCGAATCCCCGCAACGGGGTGAGCTCCCGTTGCTCGGTCCCTGCTCCTGCCAACCTAGCAGTTCGAAAGCACATCAAAGTGCAAGTAGATAAATAGGTACCGCTCCGGCGGGAAGGTAAACGGCGTTTCCGTGCGCTGCTCTGGTTCGCCAGAAGCGGCTTAGTCCTGCTGGCCACATGACCCGGAAGCTGTACACCGGCTCCCTCGGCCAATAAAGCGAGATGAGCGCCGCAACCCCAGAGTCGGCCATGACTGGACCAAACGGTCAGGGGTCCCTTTAACTTTACCTAAAGGTAGGTGAACCCAGCCGCCCTGCGCTACCTATCAAAGGACCCGATCCAATGGAATTTAGCTGTGGTTGCACGGGGTTGGTGTAGATGACCCCTGGGGTCCCTTCCAGCTTCTGTGATTCTATATGAATGCATGCAGCTTCCCACCGGATCAGACCCAAGGTGGGCCACCTTTGCCATGCTCCCGTTGCTTCTAACTATCCTGCTTCCTGGGAGTTATAGTTTGGGGCGAGCCCCGGACATGCCCTATTATCTTGTCCTCGCCGGCCGACATTTTCCAGAGTGCACTGGGACGGATATTAAATCGCCCTGGGCCTATAGCAGCCTTTGCCAACCTGGTGCCCTCCAGATGCTGGGGGAAATTTTATCTGCCGTCAAGTCCATCCAACATGGGCAGCGGTCAGGGATAATGGGAGTTGTAGTTTGATGCCTGGAGGGAACGAAAGATTGGGTGGAGACTGCCGCGGAGGTGTCCCTAAGGTTAAATTTTGCCATAAATGTCGGGTGCGTGGGTGAAGATCATTTTCCACTATTGGGAAGGGGTGGAATTGGCCCTCAAAATTGAAT